AATGACAGACAAAATTGGGTCAATAAAAAGTATTTTAGATGCCAAATAGACCATTTCACTTAATAGTTTTCAAAGCTTGGGCCAATTTGTACAAGTGATTTAACTTTACTTAAAAATGAAATTATTAATCTGTGCTTCTTTATTCTTGGGGTCACAAATGTTTCAAAATAATAACTGAGCCAAGTTTTCATAAAAACATAATCAAATCTTTCTGGAGTGATCTAATACATTTTATTTGCTCATGACTTGTCTAATTTGGAGGAAAAAAACCCATTTTGTTTGTATGAGAAGCATAAGTTGTATCTTAACCTAGTCTCATAAATATTGTAACTACAATATGAAGACATCTTCCGAAACATTTTATTTCCATTATAAAGCTGATTATATTGTTACCAGATTTCTCCCCAGCACCCTTGATGTCAGTTCTCCAAGCATTGCCATCTGCCAGCTAGGGACAAACAGCCAGTGAAATTCTATTGGTGCTGAAAACAGATACATTTAGTTGGTGCAGACACATTTTTGCAGTTGTAAGGATACTGTGATGAACACAAACATAATCTACTCACACATGGCATATTTTGTCATGTCAGGGAATTTTGAAAAGGAGTAAACAGTATTTATGCATCTACCTGAGTGAATCCAGAGATCTGCTCCAAACTCACAACAGTGCTCCTGTGCTGTCCCTCCAGATCACCCAGATGATCTGGTCACTCGATCTGGTGCCAACAATATATTTTGTAACACCAGGGATTTTTTTAAATAAATTACATCATTTATTCCTCACCATGACTCTATGGAGCATACATATCCTTTCACTGTCTCGATTTTATACATAGGCGAATTGGGTTTTAGAGATATTAAGTAAGTTTCCCATTTAGTTTACTTTTTCATTTTTCAGCCTAACGTGTGACTTTTCCTCCTCAGATTGGAAAGTTCAAATAAGAATTATTCAAGAGCTGCATGGTTATAGGTGATTTATATTAGCAATTTTCGTAACACATGATATACAGAAAGATATAATTCTATACAGGGAAAGATACAAATATATATCTCAAATAAAAATTAGTGAAAATGTAATTTTTGTCACATTTTGAAGGGACATTGATTATTTAAACCTGCTTTCACTTTTGATGATTTACTGATAGATACTTCTTACAATCAAACAAATGCATATGCGTATATTGCTCAATACTTCATTTCATGAATGCTTCTATTCACAAACAATTTGGTTCTCAAGCGAAAGCATTTGAAAAAATTTTATTTCTATCCATGAACTCCACATGGAGTGACAAACACTTCCGTGACCATCTTCCCCAGAATCATAAAGCAAATGAAATTCGTGTGTATATAACATATATGTATGTTCTGCTCTTTGCCAAATAATGTTGTGTGTGCAAGAACTGTATAAGGAAGAAAGCAAAAATCCTTTCCTTTTAAAAAACTTTGTGCACAAATGGGCCAGTGACCAGTGAAGGTAGATCTTAACAATAAATTTAATTAATAGTTACTATTGTGTTGTAAAACAATAGGAACATGGAAAACCAGAAGGAAAGGAAAGAATTGACTAAATTAGAAATACGGTGGGTAAGGGGTGAGAATGAATTTCTAGTTATAATGTTCTAGAAGGCGTCAGTGAAGATGGGCTTTGAACACTTAAAACAAGTGTGGAGGAATTAGTCTGATAAATGTTTCAAAATGTTTGGCACTATATAAATTAAAAAGGTATATTTAAAGATGTGTAAGCACTACTACCTTTCTGTAGCCCATTGATTTTTATATGCAATTTCCCCACCAGTAAATCTCTCTAAAATAGGGCTATGTTTTGCCACAAGTTGTTGTGGAACCATGCTAGGCGTGCATGGAAAGCCTTTTAAAGCCTGAACTACAAGAACTTGGCAAGAACTGGCTGTCCTTATCCTCTCACACAATTCATACAAATAAAACCTTGCATTTAGCCTATAAGAATTATGTTCTTCCTAAGAGTATATTCACTTCAACAAAAGTATCCTTTTATATAATTATTTTTTTGCTGCCTTGGAAGATTTCCGGGGAGAATTATTGTTTCCTATAACCCTGTTTTGGAATTTTGCATGTTACAGTGTATCTTCAGTACTTTTCTTTAAAGTTTTGTGTTCATGAACTTTTCCTCTATTGTTTCTTGAGGAAGTGACTGTGCTATGTCATGTATTACTTGTAGGACAAAAAATGTTCAACAAAGTATTCACGGGGAAATGTTTTATGACTGAAAAAACAGATGACTAAATGAAGATCAACTAAGATGTTGAAGTTGCTGCAAGATAAAATATCTGACACAAGATACTAAACAGAAACTAGCATTTGAATCTTTTCCTATGATGTAGATGCAAATGTATTTTGTAAACAATCCAACTTGAAAAATACAAAATAATTGAAAAATAGATTTTTAATTTCTTGTTGTCTTAAACTGTCGTCTATATTTATGACTATAAGTGTATAAGTCACTTGATTAATGTCAATGGACATTCCATTAAAAATTTTAAGTACTTATCAGAAGTGAATGGTTTTTAAAATCTAATATAAGAAAATATTTCTTTTAGAGAGTCCCTTCTTGTGAACCACTATTTTTACTATGTATCTTGCACTTTTTAGAGGAAGATCCTAAAGAAATTTAAAAGTGCCTTTATCACATTAAAGGAAATAAATTGTTCTTATTTGGGCAATTCATATAGTTTATATAATAGCACAATAATATATTACAAAATTATGTTGCACTCTGACCATGATTATAATATACTCTATTATATTTCAATATAATGTAATGTTTATTTATTAACTTCTAATGTAGAATAGTTTCTGGTACAAAAGAATAGTTGTTTTAATTATAACATAATATATATATTTGTCTAATTGTAAAGATATTACTTTGGTTTTTCTAACATTTAGGATAGTAATTTATAAGGCCATGAATAAAAATATATGGGTAATGAGAAGCAAGAATCAACAGTAAAGACAAACTGTTTGTGATTCTTTTCTTCTGCTCAATTGTTCCCAAGAAACAATGCTCCCAGTGTGACAGGAGAAATGGACAACTACATTAGTCAAAATGGCTTGTGTTACTTCTTAAAGTAGTCAAAAAGTGAGACTTATCCGACAGCCTGTAAAACAAAAGTTTGATAGATAAGTGTCAGTGTTTTAATGACTTGTGTCTCCTTATATTATTCTTCTCAAATAAAGCAACAGAATACTCTTCCCCATCAAAGTCCCATGAATCATATTTTTAAAATAATAAAAGTGATACCCATATAAGTACTCTGCTTCAGTTCATAAAAATCTTATTTAAAAGCTAGTCACTTCAAACAGATATATTAACCATTTATTTAACTTTAATTTAAGTGGAAAAGTTTCCATGTCTTTTCTTGGTTTTTTTACTTTATTAGTACATGTTTGGAGTATATTATTACATTCACTTAGGGGACTGATACATGTACATAACACATTTCAGTGTCCTCCATTTCTCCTCTCCATCAAACCCCCTTTTAGTTTTCCAGCATCCGAATCATTTATTTATCTTATAAAAACATAAAGTAAATTATCATATAGACAGATTGAGAATAACCTATTAGTTACACATAAAAAATGTAAGACAATTGTATTAAGTCAAGGCACACTTTAAGCAATTTTCCATTTCAACATCTCAATGAGAGCTCATTTTCCCCACTTTTCCAACGGTCTTAGTCATTCCTCATGTAATTCCATAGAGATGCAATGAATTTTCCAAACAATATACATTCTAGCTGTTAATGTTAAACTTATATCGCTTCAGAATGTGAAAGGCTGTGTGTCTAAATTCTGTAAGTAAAAAAGAAGTCTTACTGAAGCAATGACTGTTTTAAAGGGTATGAGAGGAACGATTAAAAAAACTAGAGCACAAGGAATTTCCAGAGACAGAATATAGTCAATGACCCACAGGTAGGAAAAAATTAAGATTTCAGCATGAATTGATAAGAAAATTGGTGACTGGGGCAGATAAAAGAAATAAACAGCAAAGAGAGGTAAACTAGTTTCATAGTATAATCATATTAGAAGACACATTTGCTTTTCTTTTCTTTAGTATCTTTTAATTAGCCAACTACGTGTGATTTTTATGAGGATGCTGGTGATAAGTAAATCATATTGATGGAATTTGCAATAAATTTGAGATTGAGAATTCTTATGTACTTGAAATCTAAGGCACTGTTATTCTGGCAAGCTAGAAAAGTTAAAAGGAGGCCACTGTGTTACAAGATCTCCAGTGATAATGTATTCATATGATTATCTTTTCTATTATCTATTTCTGCTAAATCAGTTTATTTGCACCTACTGATACAAGTCATATCTTCAGCACTCTTTAAATTCGATTTTAAGAATATATTATCTTCTTATTTATTAACGTTTCTTAATTCTAAATAAAATTCCTACCATGTGACAAACAAAATGTACAGTTTCTGATGAATAGGAAATCAAAGAAATACAGTATGGACAAGTGAAAATAAGAAGCTATAATCTAATAGGAAGGCCTTTTCACACAAATTACTACAAGTGAGTGACTACTAAAGTATCCTAAATTTTTCACCGAAGTTCTAAAAAAATTGTTTCTATTTCTAAAATTGCTCTCTAGGGAGTAATCATTTTTATGGAGTGAGTAAATGAGCTCAATACAAATAAACATTTCCATATGTAAAAATAGGACAGTGTCAACTAAATAGCAAAGAAAATAATTTTTTATCTATAAGAAATGCAGGGCAAAGCACATTGCCCAAAAGCTAATTTATTTTCTGAATATTTATAATAGATGAGAAAAAAATTAAAATTCTGTTTGGAAGAAATACACTGCTTTTAAAGAGTGGACTAAAATATACTAACATATTTTGTGCCACAGAAATAAACAGAGCTTAGTTACATTGAAATGTTATTCTCAGCCAAACAAGGTGATAGAGATCACGGCTGTATTTTTTTTTAACCATAGACTCTAAAATATGCACAAATATAGATCATAAGGTTGTATCTAGAATAGCATGTTAACTGCTTGACTAAGTATCTGCATAGAACAGAGATCTAACTTTGGGTGCCTTACAAAGAAGTGCTTTGTTTTAAGAAGATAAGCGATATTAGGACATCTGGGAAATGACCCTATTGCCATACTCCGTCCTCGACATCACTAAGCAATTTAAAGATACCATAGAATCCATGAAAACCCAATCTGAGCGATCTTAACATTGTCTGGATTATCTCCCTTGCAATTTTCCTAATCACCGGGTGGATTGCTCCTTCCGTGTTGTACTTGCTCTGACCTTCCGTCATCTGCTCAGGGAGTTCTCAGCACTTGCACTGCTGTCCTTTGTGAGAAATTTAAGCTCAAGTACTTCTAGGAAGCAAAATGAATCCGTTGGCACTCCGAAGAGTTGAGGCTTTGATCGGGCAGAATTGAATTCACAGTCAGCTGCGTTTGGAATAGCAGCCCCCACTCTAAGCAGCCACTCCAGGCATGCGTGGCCATGAAGTTCACAGTGTTAGAACTCTGGTGTCTGAGCAGGCACTCAAACCTGGTGAACTGATCAAATAATAGTGATGAACATTTTAAAAAAGAAGACGAATGTGAATGTCTTGTCAGTCAATGGAGAAAAAGCAGCTGCCAACTCCACTGAGTCCAAGCACATTACTTGGTGTTACAGTAACACTATTTTCTTTGCCATTATCTTTAAAAATTAATTTTGTTAGATTAATAAGTGACTGGCTGCCAGCATCGTTGGATTTCATCAACACTTTTACTCAGTGAACCACATTACCAAGCAAGACCAAACAGAGATAAGAGGAACAACATAATGTTCAGAAAAGCAGATCACGTTAAATAGGAATATCTCTATAGAAAAAAACGGTAAACAAATTCTTAAGAAGTAAATTATACTCAAGTTAGTAAGTATGAGTATTTATTAAAAGTATGTTCAAATGGACGTAGACTTAGAATATCCACTGATATGTCATTTATCAAAGTGCTGTACACTGTACTGTGTTTTGGGCCTACTCACTTTTAATGGTGCTGACAATTGGAAACACTTTCAATCATGTTCCAAAGCACTTCACAGCCACAATATGGCTTCTAATTCTACGGCATGTCCAGCAGATGGACAAACAGACGCAAGGGGCTCCTCCCAGTCAGAATGCTCATATATTTATTATGTGTTCTTCTGCCTCCAAAGAGGAAATAGAATGTCAAATGTGACCTTAAACTAACTTCCGTCTTCCTCAGGGGAAAAAGCTATCATAAACAATGCCAGTTCTAGGGGTAAAAATATCAAAATATTTATACAAAACCACAGCAGACATAGTTTAAAATCAAATGCTAATTAATTGCAGCTTCCTGCTTTTGCCATCATCATCTGGAATGAGGTTTAGAAGTAAAACTAAGTTGTTTTTTCATTAAAATTTATAGTGAGGCATTTTTTTCATTATTCACACTAATTAGCAAGCTACAATCTTAAAACACATTTCAAGCTACAAATGTTCTTGGATTTCTAGCTGCAAAACATATTCAACTTTCATTGCTGTTTTAATTCAAGAGATATTTAAAAATGAGTCCTATTAGCTGGGCGTGGTGGCGCACGTCTGTAATCCCAGCACTTGGGAGGCTGAAGGAGGATCACTGTGAGTTTGAGACCAGTCTGAGCTACATAGTGAGTTCCAGAGCACTCTGAATTACACAGTGAGACCTTGTCTCAAAAAACAAAAAAAAAAAGAGTCCTATTTATAAAGATAGCAAATGTGCTATTATGAAAAATAATATTCAAAATCACAGAATATGAATTTTGCTGGAATTTCATATTGCATTTACTTTTAAAGCTTTGAGAATGCTGTAATATAACACAGCAAATTTGATTTTCTGATATGATCTTCCATATATATATATACAGACTATGATTTTTGATTTTCACCCAAGGAGTCAGTGATGTTTCTGATTTTTCCTCTAGCAGCACACAATGTATGTTCTTACCCAACCTGGAAATGGCCTCTGACTGCTTTCTTGGCTGTGTATCAAAGACCCCTCTATCTCTGAAAGTCCCCTTTCCTAGGCTCTTCTTATTTGCTCAGTGTGCATCTCATGATATCAACTCGGTGCCAGATGTTGTAGAAGCCAAGGTCTCAGGGTGCAATCCCTCTGGTTTTACCGCAGACATGAGATGAACAAGAAAGCCACTGTTTACAAGACCTCAAGGAAACACAAGGCCTTGTCACATGGTGGTGACTGCTGCTGGTTCGAAGACGCTTATCTTTGTAATAATTCCTCTCTTTAGCAAGACGATAAAATGTTGGGCTCCAGATCGAACACCCTTCTGAGGAGCTGTAGTAGGCACGATTCTGTGCCCTTTTGGATGGCAAGTATTTGCTTTAAAACTTGAATATTGAAAAGGAACCATGATTATGCAGAATAGGAGAGGGAGAGCATTAGTTAGTAAGAGACCACAGATACAAAAGCCCAATACAGGAGTGAGTGTTGTGGATGTATTATTTTAAAACTGGCTTTGAGCGGGGGAAAAGCTTTAGAACTACCTAGCTAGGGATTTTCTGCTTGACCCTATTTCCTGGGACTTTAGCAAGCTTGCTGGTACAATGGTGTTTAGGGAACGAATCGGCAGGTGCTCCAGCCTCTTTTTCCTCGCGGAAGTTCATTCACAGGCACGCACGTTCTGTCTACTTCTCAAGCTGGCACTCACTAGATGGAAGATTTGCCAAAACGCGGGACAGCGCCGAAGAGCTTTCTTGATGGACTGAATGTCACACAGTGCACTCTGTGAGGAACACACTGACCTCGAGTGCAACCCATTAGTTCCATTATGTTCAGCTACAAAACTCACCCCAAAGAGGTGCCACTTCTTCCTGGTTTAGACTTCCGCCAAGATGTTGACGGGCAGAAAGATGACGGGCATTTCAAATTGTTGCTCATTAAAGTTTAAGACATCCTAGGGTCTCCACTGAAAGGTTAAGATGGGAAGGAGAGTTGAGTCATTTGCATAATGTAACATTATGAATTTATTTTTTGAGTTCCAACAGAGTGTGTTACTTTAGACCCCAATTCACATTGTTAGTCAAGAGTGGACGGCATCTTTTTATTGACATACGTAGTAAGTGACCATTGACCATCACTCACTGCCAATCAGTTCTTTGGCTTTCAAAAGGTTTTATGCTTTTTTATGTGATGCGCCTCAGGAATCAGAATTACGCTACTAAACACAGACAGTACCGCAGTTGAGGCAGGATTAGAGTTAAACGTATTGTTATATCATGGAAATATGGTAGGCTTAGAGACTTCAGAAGGTTTTATAAGAGTCATCTATATATTTATACACATGTAGAAAATATTCTGTTTCATAAAAATAAGTATTAGGAATTTAGGAGATTTATTATATTGTTTGATTTCCTTGTGAATCTATTTAAACTGAAGAGATTTACCTTGAATGGGAGCTATGTATGTAATTAAATGACACCATACCCTAACCTTTAAGGGAGTTCATTGAAATTAGCTTTATAAAAGATTAACATATACAAATCAAAACGTTTCTTTGATATTTACATAGGCAAAATCAAAAAGCTTCCTTCCCAAATACATTCTCTGCAGAATTTCAAAGGACAAATCTCTATGGAGAAAACTCTAAAACTTTAGTAAGAACGAAGAATAGCCAGAGACATGCATAACCTCGGATATACTAAAAGTGGTGTTTGGAATCAGCGGGAAATGCACAGGCAGTGCACTAAGTGATGCTTTTCCCCAGCTCAAAGCCATCTTGGGTGGCTGAGGTCCAGGACTGATCTATGGAGATGCCAGTCAGTGCTAACAGGCAGTGTTCACTCCAGAGGATCAGGGACATTACGGGGACCTGTACAGAGAGGTGGCTTCCCCAAGGGCAGCTCACTTTCTTTGCTTTCTATCTTACAGGTGCTGGTCCCCAATAAACATCATTCAGCACACAAATGGATGGCTCAGTGTCTGCTTTCCTGAAAACTCAATCTCCAAGCTGCCCATAAACCAGACCTGCACTCCATTCGCTGTATTTTCTTACTGTGAAGAAACATAAATTACAAAAGGCTCATGCAGTTGGTAATGGAGTACCCAGTTAGTGATTCAAAGTAACAGCCTTTGTTCAGAAGCTAAATAACAAACTCTGATGAAAAAGACTTAAAACTTTAATTTATTTTCTCTCCTCAAAGTTTACTCCTTTGTTAACACATTCTTAAAAATGTCCTTGCTATGCAAATCTGCTTCGAGAAAATGATTTTTGGTTTGTGTATTTTACTCAAATCAAAACTTTTGTCAGAATCATTTAGAAAGATAATATTCTGACTTTTTCTTGCCAGAATTAATTTAAAGAGAAAATGGATAAACAACCAGTCAGTGATGCAATAGCTTATGGTATAGATATGATTTCTTGTTTCCTTTTAGAAGGAAAAAGAGTTCTATTGTTTGATGTGGTATAGAATTAAAACGTTTGTTTATATACAATCTAATTTCTAACTCACAATCTTTTCCCACATAGTCCTCCACTATTTCAATAACAAGAAATGAAAGTCAAAAGTTATTCAAGAGTACCTGGAATTCTGAAGGATATTTGACTGGGTGAACTGGTAATTCTCAGTAAGGAAATGTGAGCAGACTTTGTTCAAGTCTGGTTAACCCTAGGAGTAAATATCAGGATAACCTGCCCTCTCTAAGAATAATTCACATGGTGAATAATACATGCAACTCATTCAAATTCTGCTTCTTAAGAAGATAATTACTACAAATTTCAAGACATTACTGCTTTATAACATTGTTTCCCTATGCAACATCCCTGGCTTTGGAATTTGTCAGTTGAAATCTGTGTACCGACTCTGCTTCATAGCAGATCATGTGATCTCAGGTAACTCATGGAATCTATAGTTTATTTATTTAATCCTTCCTGGTCCTAAAGAGTCATTTCAGTGGCTTACAAAAATAGGTACAGTAAGATAAGATAAGCAATACATTTTAAAAACATACAATATTTATATTGAAATTACTTTGGAAAATTACCAAATCTTAAAATGAGTCTATCAATAACCTGTACTATAAAACTGTGGCAGGAATTATATGTAAAACACATTAAAAATCCTTTTAATGAATGATTCTCAGTAAAACTTAGCTCTCATTAGTGTACAGCTATGAGGGAAGGAGGCATGTTTCTTTCAACGAATGTGCCCTTTTCTATTGTCAGCCTCTGCCAGCCACCTTCCAAGGCAAGGTTGAGACAAAATAAAGATAGAATAACTGAGGTAAAAGGTAATTGAATACATACAGGCATAATTTAAGTCATTTCTGCTTTGTGAATTAATATGAAAACCTTTCTCATGGAATCTTTCTGAGGCTTCTGTAAAATTACATTGCAGGAGAAGATGATTGCTGAAATTCCTCTCAACATAATTTTGCATGTAAGCTTTCCATCTGGGAGAATGTGACAGAGAAAAAGAGATTACTAGTCTTAACATTTACTGAGCCGGGCATGGTGGTGCCTGCCTATAATCCCAGCACTCAGCAGGCTGAGGCAGGAGGACCACCATGAGTTGAAGCACGGTATGGGCTACATATTGAGTTCCAGGTCAGCTTGAACTGCATAGCAAGACCCTGTTTCAAAAACCAAAAACCAAAAAACCACATCTATAGAGCCAGGACAGGAAAGGTATTCAATTTTTTCAATTAAAAAAAACTCATTTTTGCCTTTATTGTTTTTATTTAAAATACAAATGAACAAGCTATTGAAATAAAAGTAAATGATCATTTTATTTGCAATTTACCAGAAATCAAAGTCTATCTAGTTTAATAAAAATGAAATACATCGCGGTCATAATTAGGAAAAAGATGGATGACAATAGCAATGGAAATAGCCTTTCACTCAATATAAAACTCACCCAGTCTCTCATCCTTGTTTTCCCCTACCTGCTGGCTTCCTCACTGGGATCAGAGCCATAAATAACCTACATTGCCATCCTGAGCACTCCCTGGCCAGATCATGAAGGGGCTTCAGTACCATCTGTTGTGGAAAGAAATGCATGAGTTTGGCTCTGGTGTCCCAGCCCCTGTCTTGAAGTTCAGTTGTGCGTTACCGGATGAGGCGCATTGGTCACTGAAGGGACAGTGAGCAATCTCTGCTCTTAGACGTTCCTGGCGGTTGATCTCAACGCCTTACACAACCGGGGAGTTGAGGATTAGCACGTTCCTGTTCGTCATTATCTAAACCACAGTGCAACTGAGAAAGAAGATGTCGGGATCTGAGAATGAAATATCCTGACAGGTACAAAGCAGGACTGTGGCGGCTCAGCAGGAGTAGATGAGCACCGTGTATGGGACTGAAAGTGGCTGATGGTGGTTGTGGGGAACTGGAAAAAACAAACAAACAAACAAACAAACAAACAAACAAACTCCACTGAAAAAAGACATTCGTCCGGATGCAGCAGTGTGCCAATGTGAACTCCTCTTGTTAGATCCGAGTAATCGGCAAAAGCTGGGAATGTGGAATTTACTTATGTTTCTTATTTCCTGTGAAAGACTCCACTGAAAGAGACATTCGTCCGGATGCAGCAGTGTGCCAATGTGGACTCCTCTTATTAGATCCGAGTAATCGGCAAAAGCTGGGAATGTGGAATTTACTTATGTTTCTTATTTCCTGTGATTACTCACAGACTCCGTTTTTTTGCTCACCACTGTGCTGTGCCGCCAGCTTTTCATTCAGCTTACGAGCAAGCAGTTTGCTGCCCCACATTTTAATAAATCAGGCAGAATTATTTGTACTCCTTTACTGCCTAAATGACTAAACTATTTACTATGCTGTCCTTTCCCTACATAAATTTTGACTTAAATCATAATGTGAATACAAACCCAATTCACAGTTAGGGAATCAGCTTGTTGTAATGCACTTTAGTCTTACACTGGGGGAGGAACGTTCCTTGCAGGCAGCAGTCCGTCCCGCCAGGGGAGCAGCACGTCTGCGCATGTGCACTCAGACACATGAGGGTACCCACGTGGTTCACTACGCAGGACAACCTCTGTAGTCCGCACAAAGACTGTGCACCTAGGCTTGTACTCTGAAGTCATCCTTCTCTGAAGATATAAAAAGTACACATGTTTTGGGACACTTTCAAAAAAGAGTTGGGACCTCAAAATATGCACAGCCTTCTAGGAAATATAGTTTAATTTTGGAATCTCTTAAATTGAAAGTCCTTGGAAAAAGCATGTTGGAACAATATGGGTCCTGGAGCAAGCCATTTTACACATCTTTGAGCCCCGATTTATCATTCCCCAAAAATATGCCTACCTGATGTGCTAGAAAATATTTTTGGTGAGAACGAAGACCTGGCATGTAAAGGTACAAGATCCCAGTAATAAATGTGACTGTACCGTACACCTAAAATGTACCAATAAAATCAATGAGGAAAAAAAAAAGAAAATATTGTTGGAAGCAAAACGCTATAGATCTGCAGGTGGATGAAAGCGGGAGCTGGAAGGCAGCTACAGCACCCCCTGGTAGCTCGTTTTGTGAGGCTGACAAGTAATTCCCCAGGGCCTGAAGACAGAACTTGAGCGTGAAAGACGGAGTGGTGTCGCTGAGACTGTGGCTGATGAACGGCAAATTCGTTCAGCACATGAGCTGTGAAATCAACTTTAAAGTTATGCGTCTCCCATATTTCTTGAATTGCATCCTCTATGTTTTTCAAATAAGTGATGTTTGCAAATTGCAAAGGCTTCTGCCAGTCATTTACGTTCATTCTTCGTGCCCCTGCCACAAGCCTGGCCCACGAAGTAAGCATGACGTAGAAATATGGAGACCACATGCAAATGAATTGAACGTATTTTACCTGCATGACTCACTATTTTAAGATTGTTTATTTTTAGGAGTATATGTTTTACTAAGAAATAATTTTATACTTTAAAATACTTTATCTTATATTTTTAGCTTTATACTGTATTCACATTACATGTAAATATCTAATACTGACTTTCTATTCAGTTAGTCATAGACATACGCTCTTTATTTTTGTTAGTTTTTTGAAAACCACGTCAAATATTTAAATTGTAAATGGCCTAACTAATTTTTTAAAAAACTAGGATTAAATTATACGTACTTTTTAAAATAAATTGTGTTGCCCTGGGGATTTAGTTCAGTGGTTCCACCACCTGCCTTATAAGCATCATGTCCCGAGTTCGATCCCCAGTACCAAAATAATAATAGTAATAGTTTGATTAAAATAAATTGTGTCTTGTTTGAGAAAGATTGTGTGTAAAACTAAATTGTACAGGTAGTTGAGGTTTTGAAATGTCACATAAATTAGTTTTCCTCTAATATTAAGGCGTAAAGAAAGATAACATCTGGTGTTCACAGAGTTGCTCAAGATCTGGAGCCTGAGCTCTGGGCCTTGGGAATCTTGCACTTTCTACTTTAGAAGCAGAAATGACTGGATACCTAGCATTCGGAGTAACCAATAACTTGGCCACAAGGCATTTCAGGGATTGCACGAGAAGAGGAGAGAACCAAGGGCTCATGGAATCCTCTGATATCTTTGTTGTGATGCAAACTCCAAGGACCTTCTCACCATCTTGGACACAGGTGATTACAACCATAGCGGTGGAGATGGGGCAGAACTTAGGGTCAAATTCACTGTAAAGAATATGGCTTCAGCCAATATTGAGTATTAAGCACCATGTTTATTGCAATTTAAATCTCTTGGGCCACCTTTAAAGTAGCTAACTTTTTTGAATATTTCGAACTTAAAGCATGGCTAGCTTTTTCTTTCAAGCAGCATATTTCCAAGCAGACCCTTAGGCATTCTAAATGTTCTGAGTTTAAAATATAAATCATGGCTCAAGATGTTCACAAGAAATTTTAAATTTTCTCAGCAATTTAAAAAAAATCTGGATACTTCGTATTTTCTTGTTGGTAGCCAGTGTTGGCGAGGCCCAGAAACAGGTCTCTGTGAAGAACATTAGAACAGGGATGAACATTTTTGATCCCTCTTAGCATTCTCAAATTGCACTAATATCTTTCTGAAGTATGGTGTGATCTTGTTCAGGTTGCTGACACACACTGCTGTGGTCACATCCCTTTCTAGACCTTTGCATTGCGTTTACAAAAATCGAGAAAAGCTGAAGTAGGCTCTACTGCCAGGCCCATGGATAACATAGAGGAATCCATTACCATTGATTTGGAGAGTCAGCCATGTTATAATTAAATATTTAGATGTAATGTGGTTTTAAACAATTTAAGTGAAGGTTAAGAATGGCTAAATGGGCCAATTCAGGGGCTAATAGGGACAGAAAGAATAGCAAGCAAGAAAAAGAGCATATGCAAAGTGGGAAGGAATATTTATCGCAAATGCTTACTTGACTTCCAAGAAATATCATCTAATATAGTTTAAAGCTGTTCACTATTTTCATTATACAAAGTCTTAGTATAATAAATCAAGAAAAATATTAAAGATATAAAATATACATGGGACAAAGTACAAAGTTTTATTTTTCTTATTACCAAGTGAAATTGAAAGGTTATGAAATGAACAAATACAAAGCAAATAGAGTAAGGGAAATAAAGCCCCAGTAGTAAAATTTATGGGTATTAATTGTATTTCCATAAGGAATAAATAATTAACATTAAAAATAAAGGGGTAAGGGGAAAAAAGTGAGAATCAAGACTTGTCATGCAGAGGTACAAGATCCCAACAATGAATGTAACTCTACTATATCCCTAAAATGTACCAATAAACTCAATTAAAGCTGAAAAATAATTTATAATAGAACCAAAAGACAGATAGATATTACATAAGATGCTCAAGAGTTCCACAATGAAACTAGAAAACATCACTGAAAGACATTTAAATAAGAATTAATAAGTCAAGCTATGCTAAGTTCCTGATTTAGAGAATTCAGTATTGTTAACTTGTCCAGTCTCCATGAAACCATCAACAAAATTAATGTGAACTCATTCAAAATACAGCAAGGTGTAATTTACAAATGGACAGAGTGACCCTAACTTTATGTGACAGTGCAAAGGTTCTATCTAGAATAGTTGAATCAACCAGGAAAAAAGTAAAACTGAGGAAATAGCAACCTCTGATTTTAATACTCACTACAGGGTGATGGTTATCCAATCAGAGAAGTATTGAAGATAGGACTGAAAAATACAGTAATGTAGCAGGTAGAGAAAGCAAAAGTGGGCTCCCCCAAATGTGTCCATCTGCACCTGACAAAGAAGCCAAAAAAAGGCAGTGACAAATGATATCGGCATAATTAAATATAATGTACACAACAAAAACCTTGAAAAGTCTACTTCAGTCCATGCACACATTATTTTGAGATAAATAATAGATCCAAATGTTAAAACTAAACCAGTGAAAGTTTTGGAAGAAAATTCAGGAGACTATCTTCATGGCCTTGAGAAGAACAGAAATTATCCCTGACAGAAAGGGAAATCACTCTGCATATTAAAATTTAGGTTTGATCCCATTGGATTAAAAGTTGCTCTTCAGAACACAGAATTGGAGAAAATGTCTGTGCAGGCGTGTATGAGTGTGTGAAAATATTTGCATCTAGAATATATAGTGAACTACACAATAAGATGACAAACCAATAAAATGAAAAAATGAATAGTCATTTTGCAAAGATAGATATACAGATGGCCAATAATACATGAAAATATGTCAAATATTATGTTTGATTTTTGTTTTGTTTTTATTTTTTTGAGACAGGGTCTCACTATGTATTGAGACTGACCTGGAACTCACTATGTAGCCCAGGCTGGTCTTGAACTCACAGCGATCCTCCTGCCTCAGCCTCCTGAGTGCTGGGATTACAGGCATGTGCCACCACGCCTAGCTCTATGATAAATATTATTAATCCATAGTAAAACACTAATATAAACCACTTAAAATGCCACAACCTGAACACCAAAATTTCCACAAGTTAAAGACTGATTTTCCAATGACTGCCAGGGGTAAGAAGCAAGGGGAACAATGATACCAATGCAGACATGAAGCGCTGTAACCAACGCTGAAAGCAGCCAATATTGTGACCAAGAAATTCTTCTCCTGTATATTTAAGCAAGAGAAATAAAAACACGCGTACCCACGTGGATGTATGAGAAAGCTTTAGTACAGTTTTAATAATAATTTTAATTATAATAACCAAAATCTAGAAGCATTCAAAATATCCAGTAAGGATGGAAACCTCGTAATACACTCGGACAACAAAATGCAATTAGCAATGAAAAACAGTGAAATTCTGATGCAAGTAACATAGTGAAAAATTCTCAAAATCAGCATTTCGAGTGAAACAAAGCAAGTAAAAATGTGTATGCTTTTAATGGAGGCACAAACTGAGACTGGGAAGTGTCAGGAAGAATTTTTT